CTAGGGGCCTCGCCCTAGGAGGTCTGTGGAGATGCAGGAAACTGGCCTGGGCCTCAGCACATGGCAGGTGCTGAGGGACCTAGAGGCCTAGGATACACTGATACTTTGCTGGGCCCATACAAGTGGCAGGTGATGGGTGCCTTGTTCTAAGAAGATACTACCACTAACCTGGAGTGCTCCTTGGCAGTTGCAGATGCTGAGGGCACAGAGATTCCAGATCCTGTTGCTAAGGAAAATACCTGATGGAAGCTGGGTCGGGGAGGAGTCCGCTTGTTGAGGGGTACCGCCGAGGAGCTGATGAGAGCATCCGTCTGGGACCTACAAGGGTGATCCCACACCCTATTCCAGGTATCTGTTCACAGTATTACTACTACTATTGGTCCCTGGGACCAGATCACAGTGATTTCAGCCTTAGCTGTTGCTAAGGGAGAAAGCTGTCCTCCGAAGTATTTCCAAGGGCATCCTACAGACCCTAAATCCTCTCTCTCCTGTTGAACTTGCAAATAAATACCCCAAAAAGAACCCTAAGACTCGAGTCATTCTGTCCATGAGTGTCGGTGTGCTGTTGCTGATCAAAGGGGACCGGTAGCTGGAGCCAACAGGTAGGAGAACTCATTTCATATTCAGCGGCTCCTTCGGGGGTGAGCGCTACACAAGTAAGGTTTGATTATATTATCCGAAACAACTCTCCTCTGTATTCCTATTACAATGTTGATGTCATAACAGGAGAAGATACGCTGGGACTTCACAACTCCTTTACTGACTTCAAACACAGCTAAAACTTTCTGAAAGCCTTGGATATTCTTGCTGTACATTATGTCCATCAGACCCGTGTTTACAAGCTGAATTCTGTGTGAACTAGGCCAAAGGCACACTGCGTTTCTGAATTCGCCCCAAGGTCATGTCATGTGGTCAGTTTAGAGGGAGATAATACGGATTTATTTCTCTTCAGTTACAGTTATGTGTGTGATAAATAACCTGAAAAAAATGCAATATTAATAAAATATGAAGCTCTGGTGGAAAATCTCGTATTTGGACTAAATATAGCATTTTAAGCACCGTGTGGTCATTCCCAGCTCCAACATACCATACAAGGCTGGGAAATATCTAAGCGGTAAAAATTTTACGAATTTGCTTTTACCATGACAATCCTGCCGTACAATGCAGGTCCTAAATATAGTGCGGAGGACACTTCTGTGAAAGGCAATCAGACATCAAGATCACGAGCTCTTGGAGATGCAGCTGTTCACCTATTAA